GCAGAACCCGCTTATACCCGAAAATGCCCTGTCCCAGATCTGACTGGCAAGGGGGAGCAATCGCACTCCCTTATCAATAGTTTGATACTCAGACAAAACTCTGCTGGCGAGAACTCGCTTCTGTTCTTCAAAAAGATGACTCAAACACCTGCTGCTCGGCATCAGGAAGGGCTTCTCTGCCGCAGGCAGGAAAACACTACCCGCGACCGCTGCGGCTTTCTAAAGCCAGCCTTTCATGCCGCAACTGGCAACTCACCGTTGTTTCCAGAATAGTCATATCCCCGCTGAGCTGCCCGTAAGTTACTTACAGTTCCCCTCGGGCATCTTTCAACTGGACAAACAGAAAGAGTGCTGAAAAGGATACGACATTGGCCCAGAAGCGGGGGATGCCCCGGATGATGGTGCCTCTGCGGTCCAGGTGGGGCTTGCGCCTGCGCTCCAACTTTTCCCTCTGCTGAGAAAAGGCCCTCCTGGCTCGAGCACTAACAGGCTCCAGCTCCACCTGAACGGCCAGCAGCTCCTCCAGTGCAGACTCTGGCGTCATGGGCCCAGGGCCCAGCTGTGCCCGTTTGTCCCGCTGCTCCCGCTCCACATCGGCTTCCTCCTCCGCCACCACTGCCACTTCCGCCATCATGTCGTCCTCCACCACCAGCGCCTCCTCCTCCTCCCTGGAGGCCTCCTCCTCGCTCTGCTGCGCTTACGGGAGCCTGCGTGTGGCTTGGCGGACCCCCCAGGGCGCATGCGCAGGACTTCAAGGCGCCCCCGCGGCGACTGGCCCCAGCGGCCAGTCAGTGCGAGGGCGGTGGGCGTGTCCCTGGAGGCCACGCCCCCCGGCTGGCCTGCAGCCCCAGCCTCCTTCGGTAAGCCTCGATGAGAAGCCCCGGGAGCTTGCGGCAGGCGGCGCTGGGTGCGGGCACACGCGGGCTGCCTGCCTGCCCTTTGGAATTGTGGGCATGGAAGCGCTGGGCCCTAACTGCCATCATGAGTGTGGCAAACCACTGACCCAAAGGGAACACATGAAGCATCTCAGTTCGCTCGGCAGGCCAGGTAGATGGTACTGACTATTCCAAGGTCAAGATCGAGAGGAGGGAGAGAGGCACCAGCGCTGGCTGCCGGGGCGAGGGCCGCGGAGAGACTTGAGGAAGTGGGGCGGGGCAGGCGCCTGGGGGGAAAGTTGCCTAATATCTTGCTGGAGTGGAATTTGTCTAGGGCTGCCAGGTCTTGGGGTGGACGCCATAAGGCATGGTCTGTGAGAGCCCCCATGAGGGGGCCGAGTTCAGGCTGTGGGCTCTGCAAGGGAGGGCAGCTGGGGCGAAGAGCCAGGAGGCCGCCTTGGGGGAGGAGGCAGTGCTGATGGTGGACGACATAATGCTGGACGTGGTCGTGGTGGCCGAGGAGAAGGCTGACACCGAGGAGCGGCAGAAGGTGGATCAGCGGGTCCAGCCCAGC